AACAAAATGCTGTTATCCCTCCAAAAGAGGTTGATGGAAAATCACCTCTTTGGTCACGTGCACACCATCCTTGGAAAGATTAATTCCTCCTGAGATATGCAACAAAAGCCATTTTCATAGTTGAATGTATTTCCCCAAAATAACCAAAATACAATTCACGCGATCTTGTATTCTGTACTGAATAGGAAAGTCCTAATTGAGCATGCTGTTTTTTCTATTTGCACATATCTTAAAATCGTTTTGTTGAGTCAAGCGTGGTTCAAACACAACCGCTTCTGGTCGGCAAAACACGGAAGTAACTTTATGGAATGTACTCGTGGACAAACTCTGGGGAAACAGTTTAGAATGAAAAAGTATTCAAATCAAAGTTGCTCGTGGATGGGGGGAGATGGGAGATTCATATTTTTATACACAGAAATACTATATAGGCCTTTGCAGCACGATCATAGCGAGCCTATCATGTCTCAGTGTGCATTGTACATGTACATGTGTGTACATGTCCGAACCCCAACCGATCCAAAGTTCGGCAAAAAATGTCCGAGCCCTGTCTGAACCAAACCGAACTTTGACACATACTTGCAGCACTATTTGATGCAGAGTTTGACTTTTTTAGTACTTTAAAAAAAATGTTACATGTGACTGAAGTTCAAAATAAATTCATATTGTGTCTATGTGGATATTTCCTTTCAGAGAAGATAGATTAGGCGGTAAAATGAGGCAACCGTGTTTGGCACGTCCTGTCACTCCCATATAAACGTATTTATTTTCCAGTCTAAAAAATGTTTGAAGACGAACAACGATCTTGTGGAGATGTCTTTTTGAAGTTCTCCCTGAATAGGATCTTTTGTTCACAACTATGGCTGTGTAGGCCACAAACTCCATTGTTGTCAGGGTTGCTCGTGAAGCTAGACAGTCCAGGGCAGATGGTTCTTTTCAAACTGTTGAACTGTTCAACACCAAAAGACGAACAGAATGAAGGGGGATTAACACCAACCGTTGAACTCTTTCTAAACCGTCTGTATTTTGACCTCACGCCTAAGCTCAGGTTTCTTTACATTTTGAGAGAGATCATTTATAAAATCCTGAAATCAGGAAAAAATCCTGTCAAATCTCACCCCTGAGCCTTGCTGTGTGCTTCTGTGCCATGCTTTGTGATTCCAACAGGTGCTATATGGTGTCAGCATCACGACATTCACTGGTACTGCAGGCAGAGAAGTAGACGAGTCAGGACACTCACTCATGCCACACTGTAGTCAGGCATCCATGCTGTGGATGTAATAAGAAATTCAATACCTACTAATGCAATGTACGTGTACGTATTGGCTGCACCATGAAGCGACATATATACGACAGTTTTGGTACGCCACAAGGTGACATACCTTTTCAATTTTGTTCACACAATACATCAGTTCATGATGCAAAGGACAGCATGCATGTAACAAGGTTGTTGGGACTTTACAGATGACCTCGTTGTAACAGAGACCTTGTATTATTGGAAAACAGAGAAAGCAAAGATGAAGGGAAACCTAACACTTTTCTTGCTATATTAATTTAAAGCAAGATATGTTGGATTTTAAAAATCAATGTTTGACAACATGTACATCCAACTGAGTTCAATTTGACTCAGTGACTCTGAATTGAAAGGTTGATGTTGCTGTGTTGCACCTTAAAAAACATTTTGAAGTGCTGTTTGCCTTTTCTGACGAGTGTACCATTCAACGGTAATTGGCCAAGAGCCATGTACTCTGAAAAAAAATCAAGAGCAAACTCGAAGAGAAATTGTCAACCTTAGAGTAGTGGAAGAGGATCCAGCGAGGACGGCAGGTACCAGACACATCAAGGAGGAATCTCCAGCTCTACATGTACAGGTTTGTCTCAATCAAAGGATGGTGACGGAACGCATCCTGTAGTTGGCTTTGGGGATGGGGTCTCACTGTTGAACAAATGACAGATACTAAACGGTCAAGGGCAGGTGGAGAAATGCCTCAAGGGTGAAGTGCACTAATCCAAGCTCTATTGGAAACAATACGAAGCTAACAAAGGGTGAAATGAACTCATCCAACCCCATAAAGTTCAGGGCTGAATAACATGCAAGCTATCATTACTGGTGTTCCTTTCAAAACAATTAATTGATTGTCTTGTCTCAAGTCTTTTCACGTCTTGTCAACTGTTGGTCTGTTAGTCTGTTGCATTTTTAAGTGATAGTTCCCAACCTGCTCACAGCCATTTTTAAAATGGCTTTGCTCTACTTTCCAGTGTTGTAGTCAAGACAAAATATATAAGACTGTCACAAAACCAATACCAGACTTCCAGTCTGAATTCAGGTCAAAAGCTATTCAAAAGAACAGCACAAGAGCATTCCTTTGTCATTGTTCAACCTGTTTAATACTTGAGCTTGGTCTCCTGCATGGTCTTGTGTCTGGCCCTGGATCTGAGTCCTGTGTCTAGACTTGTATCTGGTCTTGTGCCTGGTCCTGTGTCTCGTCCTGTGTCTGGTCCTGTATCAAGTCTTGTGTCTCGTCCTGTGTCTGTTCTTGTGTCTGGTCCTGTGTCTAGTCCCGTGTCTGGTCTTGTTTCTGGTCCTGTGTCTGGTCCTGTATCTGGTCTTGTGTCTCGTCCTGTGTCTGTTCTTGTGTCTGTTCCTGTGTCTGTTCTTGTGTCTGGTCTTGTGTCTGGTCTTGTGTCTGGTCTTGTGTCTGGTCTTGTTTCTGGTCCTGTGTC